TCAAAGGAGCAGGAAAAGACTGATGCTGATGCTGCAGGATCCTTCCCAGGGGTGAAATGCTCCCGGTTTGGACTGGATCGCTCAATCTGGTAGCGATGGAGGTGGGTGGTTCGGAGAACCGGTAGCAAAGATCCTTCCTCCCCCCCCCCCCCGATGAGCTGCACAATCATCAGAGGCTTTTTCTTTTAATTTTTAAAAGCATTTTTTCTACAACCTCTTCGGCCCGAAAAAATGCTTTTAAAAGTTAAAAAAAAGAAAGCCTCTGATGATCGCGCAGCTCATCTGGGATCGTCAAAGGGATTGTCAGCTGATGATCCCAGCTGAGTTGCCTGATTGGCAAAGGCTTTTTTTCTTTTAAAAGCCTCTGACGATCCAAGCTGAGTTGCCTGATTGGCAGAGGCTTTTAAAAGAAAAAAAAAGCCTCTGCCGATCAGGCAACTCAGCTGGGATCGTCAGAGCCTTTTGAAAGCATTTTGTTACAATCTCTTCGCCGAAGAGGTTGTAGAAAAAATCGTTTTAAAAGAAAAAAAAATTGTCCAAGCCCACGCAGTCACATTACCCCCGCCCCCACCAAGCCACACCCACAGAACCAGTAGTAACAAATTTCTTCTCCGTCTCTGTTTTAAGATATTGAAGTCATAGTAGTAGCAGCAACAGCAGCAGCCAGGAAAATAAAAGGGAGGGTAATAATACTATCTCAGCTGAAGTATGGAGTGTGAATGTTCTTCTACACTTGGTTGATAGCAAATCAGCCTCAGATGCCACTCCCTAATCCTGGATAAATGGAGTTTTCAAGGTCAAATTCAAATTCAGAATAGAGCTGGAAGGGACCTTGGAGGTCTTCTAGTCCAACCCCCTGCTCAAGCAGGAGACCCTATAGAGGGATGGCCTTCAAAAATTTCAGCAACGGGTTCTCTGCCTGGTTGCTGGGTGGATGTGGACATGGTGGGCATGGACATGGTGGGCGTAGCCTAGTGTGCCTCCTGCACCAGGGTGGGGGGGGCGTATTTGCCTTCTCTGGACTCTGGAGGCCCTCCGGAGCTTCTGGGAGGCCCATTTTTCCCCCTCTCCGAGCCTCTGCACGAGCCCTGCACTTACCTCGCATCCACAACGAGCCACATGGAGACTCCTGGGAGGGGCGGGGAGGGGTGAGTGGGCGGGGCCAGCCAGGGGTGGGATTTGGAGGTTCTCCGAACCGGTTGTAATGTTAGCTACGGGTTCTCCCGAACCCGTAGCAGCCAACCCCTGACCCTGTACCATTTCAGACAAGTGGCTGTGCAGTCTCTTCTTAAAACCCCCCAGTGATGAAGCATTCACAACTTCTGAAGGCAAGCTGTTGCTTCAAAAGTTGTGGGCGCTTCATCACTGGATCTAAAAATAGGGAAATATCTAGTCGATTTGATTATTAGACAGAGATCTCCTCATCTGGAATATTTGTTTATATAATGTATTATTCTTGTTAGATAAGTATGAGAAAGTGTATAACTATTTGTAGACCCGTTAGGTAAAGGGAAGAGAATTTATCAGAATTGGATTGGATTGGATTGGATTGGATTGGATTTTATTATTTTATTTTATTTTATTTTATTTTATTTTATTTTATTCAGCTGGAATGGATTTTTTATGTTTAATGTTAGTCTTAGTTGATATCTGGGTCATTTTTTACTTTTTTGTACACTTTTTTTTTGTCATTAGTGTTGGATGTATGTTTTTTGTTTTTTATATTTTATTGTTGTTGATAAAACATCACAAATATATATAAAATAATACAAATAGGACATATCTTGAGAGCTAGGGTGGGACAGATGTAGTGTATGTTGAACTGAGAGCTTTTTTGATTCGTCAGCCTTTGGAGCCAAAATGGAGAAATATATCCATCAAATCTAAATGAGGTTGGAGGCAAAATAAATTGGCTGATCTCCTTCCATTTCCTGCTACCGCCCATTGTGGGCAGTGCTTGTTGTGTGTCCAGATGATGCATCCCCACCAGTTTCTTCCTTTTTATCGCTATCCCTCTATTGAGTCTGATGGGTGAGAAAATGCTTACACCAGATGTTATGGGATAAGCGATGAAGCTGTTCTCTGCAGGGGAAGGAGTTTATAAGACGCATCTCAGCGGAGACCCTTTTTACTAACTAGAGAATCTGGGGGCTGTAATCCTTGCATAGAAAATGTTTTGGCAAATCCCTAATACGCTTTATTTGGAAATAGATTGAGGAGGTCAGTTGTTGGTGAGAGGATTAGGATGAGAGAGTAGAACTGGATCATAACTCTTCCATACTTTTCTGTTGAGGAGTAAACCACCGAACGTTGTAGATCTTTCTCCAAAGAAAAACGAGTTAACAAAACCAGTAAAACAATATTGGTGGAAAGGCACTCCTTAAAAGTATTTGTCTCTGGAATTACCATGTAATTCAAAATAAACTAAGAAAAAGTTTGAATCACTTTTTCATGTCAGTTTTCATGGTCTTTTCCTTGAAGGTCATATTAATTTGGCACCAGATGAAAGTTAACTCTGGCTTGGAATGAGGATTTGCTAGGAAGAGAACTTTTTTTTTGTTTCCAACCAAATCAGCTAAGGAATCAAAGGATCATCTATAAAAAGAAATCTCCCATACTTCCTTGGCAAGGATTTCTGGAACCGCAGAACAAATGTGCTAGTCCCTAAATGTGGCTGATAGGAGTTATGTTCTAAAGCACCTGGAAAGCTATGTGTTGCTTAGTTGGCATTATCAGTTCTCAATCTCTTGGGCGGCTGTCCGAAACCCATACCTCTTTCTGACGTGGGAGATGGTCAGTGAGCCTGTGAGACATTGTTTGATATTATGATCCTTCTCTCAAGGCGAGAACCAACCTAGAACTAAGGAAAGGTTTCCTGACAGTTTGAACAATTAATCAGTGGAACAACTTGCCTCCAAAAGTTGTGGGTGTCCAACACTAGAGGTTTTTAAGCAGAGATTAAACAACCATTTGTCTGAAATGGTATAGGGCAGGGGTCTGCAACCTTAAACACTCAAAGAGCCATTTGGATCCGTTTCCCACAGAAAAGGAAACACCGGGAGCCACAAAACCCTTCCCGTGCCTGACTATTTCTTGAGCGGCCACAAAACTAGCATATGTAGTTGAATTAAACGTTCTGTTTTCTTCTGAAACTTTTCTTTTCTTGGATTTATCCATGGTTGGACTACGAGGGGTTGAAAAGCTCAATAAATCGCGTGCTGGCGGGTGTCACACATTGGCAGTTGTGATGCATATTTTGAGTGACAGGGAGCCGCAGCAGTGGGGTGAAAGAGCCATATGTGGCTCCAGAAGTGCAGGTTGCTGACCCCTGGCATAGGGTTTCCTGTTTGATCAGGGGGTTGGACTAGAAGACCTCCAAGGTCCCTTCCAACTCTTTTATTCTGTTATTCTTTCTTTTTCTTTTTTAATAATTTGATGATTTTTCTGTTCCTTTCCCTCAAAGTTGATTATGCAAGATGGAGGAGGCAGCTGCATAAACTGAATTCAATCACAATAAAACAAAGAAATGAAATAAAAGGGAACCTAATACAATTCTCTTCAGCAAGATTTGTAGAGAAAAATGGGTTCCAAGAATTCCAGCAACTCAACTATTTCCCATTTAGAACCAATGTATCTCCATGGGATTTAGGACAGAGTCTCTCTGAGCTTCTTTCTAATCATCTTTCTGTGCTCTGACAGAGAAGCAGATCGTTTTACCAATAATAGAAAAGTTTGATCTATTGATCTTTGTAAGTCTGGAGATCAACTATTACATAATTCTGTCATGCCAATAGAAGAGAAGACTTGTAGCTTGGGATTGAACTGTGGGGCCCTTGTCTCAAAGATGCTTTTTCAAGAGGCAACTGGACTTTCTGGTTTATCTTTGAAGATGTTTCACTTCTCATCCAAAAAGCTTCTTCAGCTCTGACTGGATGGCGGGGAATGGAAGGATTTATACTCCTTGCAGACAGCTGATCATTTGCATTCTTTTAGAGAGTCGTTGAGGCCACTTGGAGGTGTATCTGTATCCTCAGCAGTGGTGGGTTCCTCCCGGTTCAGTCCGGTTTGGCCAAGCCGGTAGCGGTGATGATATGACATCACCGAACCGGTTCTCCCCCCCGCCCTCCCCCCACCCCCAAGTTATTCTTACCTTTTATTTGGTCCCACCCCCAATCTATTGCTGCCTCCTGAGTCCCAGCTGATGACTAGAGGGAAAAAACCTGTTTAAACTCTTGCCGCGGGGCTTCAAAGGGCCGTCCTACAGCTGATCAGTGTTAAAAGCAAACAAATGAGTCAGGTCGTAAGTGTGAGGACAGGTCGTAAGTGCGAGGACCTTCCAGAAAGGACACTGACCAGCTAGCCACGCCCACCTAGTCACATGACCTCCAAGCCACACCCACAAAATAAGCCACGCCCACAGAACCGGTAGTAAAATAATTTAGAACCCACCCCTGATCCTCAGGGTCACCTGAGTACTAGTAGAAATGGGTGTGGAACCTTCCTGGAACTGCTGAAAGTTCTGTGTTGTACACTGGAGATAGATGATGTCGTACCCCTCCCCTTTGACATAGATGGCCTCATTGACCCCTCTTTCAAACCAGAGGTCCTCTCTATCCAAAATGTGGTCCTTGCTGTCTTCAAAAGAGTGGCCTTTGTCTTTTAAACCCAGATGGACTGCTGAATCTTGTCCTGATGGATTTGTTCTCCTATGTTGAACATTACATTTATGAAGTGGTTGTTTTGAAGGAATTGATTTGGATGAGATGCAGAATTGTCATTCTAAATTAACCCCATCTTTCAGTGTATCTATGTATAATGCTTCCAGGCTGGTCAAGACAGGGTGAGATAAATTCCAGAGCTTATTGGGTTTGAAAAATAAAAAGAGTAGTCCATTTTTGGGAGGGAATTAATTATACTCAAGCTTGGATTTAGAGCATAGAATTATACCTGACTCTTGACAAAAATGAGAGGCCAAACTTTTATCTTTCTCTTTTGTCCAGTTTTCCTCAGGCAAACATTCTTGGAGGGAATTCTTTTACATCGTTTCAGTTCTTCAAAATCTTCATTCCAAGCTGCATTTGCTTGTCAGATAACTACAGAAAGTTGGTGTCATCATCAAAACTGAATAGTGGAAAGGTATTTTTTACCCTCCAAATGATCTACTCTTAAGATTCCCACATTTTCAAATGTAGATGAGAGAGAAGGGAGGGAGAGAAGGGCGGAAAGGGAGGGTTAGAGAGAGGGAAAGGGAAGGAGAGGGAGCAAGAGAGGGAGAGAGAGAGAGAGAGAGAAGGAAAGCTCTCAAGTTGTTAAATATGCCTTAAAGAGAAATGTCCTTTTAAAATCTGTTTTCTGCAAAGAGTAAAATCTGTCATAGGTCATCTACTGTGAAGCTTAGGTTTGAATCCTTGACTCAAAGTGAGACTGAGTCTCTTTGCCACTCAACTTTCTAGTGTAAGCCAGCACGAATCAAACGATGCCATTGCAATATCAACCGGTCTGTTAGGCTAAAAACACAAAACTTGAACAGCATCTTTTCCCTCCACCACCAAGTTTTTTATTTTTTTTTACAAACATATCAATGTGTGAACAGTGTGGCACCTGGGTATCATGCATTCTAATACAAATAGAACTAGTAAGATTAATCATAATTATTACATTCAATCAACTTATATATTTCTAATAATAATACATGTTTATATTAAGTTATAGTCTATCATTATTCAATTATTCCATATTTTCTCTTGTTATTGCTTTTATTTTATTATATAAAAGTGTATAGACTAATATTCCCCCCCTCTTATTTCTGTCTCTTATTCTAACTTTTAATCATATCACCCTTTATTTAAAAAATGTTTTCTTTCTATCCTACCTAACTTCTAATCATATCTTCTACCTAAAAAAAGAAAAGAAAGAGAGAGAAAAAGAAAAGCAAATCAGAACAACAAAAAAGAGAAATCATCTATCCATCATCTCTTGCCCGCTTCAATACTTTAATTGCTATGCTTTTTTTGAGAACACCGTCTTTTGTTGATGATGGCATTTTCTGAAATGCCTCAGCCTTGGGCAAAAACTTGAGGACTCTTTAAAAGCAAGAAATCTACACCATTTGATGTATAATTGGAGGCCTTGGACTATAAGAGGTGTCTAGAGATGTTGTCTAAGACAACGGTTTTGGACAAGAGGGTGCTGACAAAGTTTGAACTTTGTCCCCTTGTTTTTCATGATGGTTTTGACAACCTGCAGGCTATCATCATGTATTCAAGACACAAACTTACAATCTTTGATTTTTATTTAGGAGTATTTCATCCACAGTCAGTTTGTATTTCGGGGTGGGCTTCAAACATTTTAGCAAGGGGTTCTCTGCCTGGTTTCTGAGTGGGCATTGCCATGGTGGGCATGGCTAATTGGCCTCCTGCACCATGGTGGGGGGATTTTTGCCCTTCCTAGGCTCCAGAGGCTTTCCTTGAGCCTCTGGGAGGGCGAAAACAGCCTTCCAGGCTGGGGCCCTTATGCATGCCCCCTTTATGGACCTCTTAGGAATGGGGTGAGGTCCACAGTAGACAGTTTAAGGTTGAAGCTGGGTGGGTTTGAGGATGTAACAATGGAGTCAGGTAGAGCATTCCAGGTGTTGACCACTCTGTTGCTGAAGTCGTATTTTCTGCAATCGAGTTTGGAGCGATTTACCTTGAGTTTGTATCTATTGTTTGCCCGTGTATTATTGAGGTTGAAACTGAAGTAGTCGTTGACAGGTAGGATGTTGTAGCAGACAATTTTGGGCACTATGCTTCGGTCAGACCATAGGTGGTGTAGTTCCAGGTTATCCAAGCCCAAAATTTCGAGCCTGGTGGCATAAGGGATTCTATTGTGAGCAGAGGAGTGGATTACTCTTCTCGTAAAATACCTCTGGACCCGCTCAATTGTATTAATGTCCGATATACAGTGTGGATTCCAGGCATTCGAGAACTGGTCTGGTAAAGGTTTTGTATGCCCTAGTTTGCAGTACAATGTTACAATGTTGTCCCCGTCTCCTTTTGCCTTCAGTATTTCCTAACATCAGAGTCCTCTCTTCTCATTTGGTAGCCAAAATGAAGCTTCAGTATCTGTCTTTCCAAAAAACAGTCAGGGTTGATTTCTGTAAGGATTGAGTGATTTGATCTCCTTGCATTCCAAGGGACACTCAAGAGGCTTCTCCAACATTACAATTCGAAAGCATCAATTCTTCGACACTCAACCTTCCTTTATGGTCCAGCTGTCATAGCCATACATTATTATTGGGAAAAACATAGCTTTGACTACAGTTGATTTTATTAGCCCTAGCTAATAAATCATCATCATCATCATCATCATCATCTTTAAAATTCTTTTAAAGTTCTTATTCTCACCATTTCAGATTTAATCCTTTTTATCTACTGTCTGCTATCTCTCTAATGTAGTTCCTGCATGTGACTATCATGCCCTTTCTGTATTTTGGAAAAAGAAAAAGGAAGGAACAATTAAAAAAAAAAAAATGAAAATACAGATTATTCTGATAAAAACACACATTGCATTTAAAATGCCCTTGGCCAAATAAATTATACTTCCAGTGCATCTTGAACACATTTTTTTTAAAAAAGTATAAACCTTTTCTGACAGTTCTGCTATAATTCCTATAAAAGGAGGAAAGAAGGTCAACGGAGGTTCACTTTCAAGAATTTCTTGATTTATTTTATTTAAATCTTTATAGGCCATCTTTAGGATTAAAATTCTTCCAAGGCAGCTTCCAATAGTCAGCATAAAATACAAATAAACGTCAAGTAAAGCGAGCATGAATAAGAGCCAATGATAATAATAACAATAAACCATCTGGCTCAGTACAGGATTTACAAATAGGAGGGCTGCAGAAATTATCTAAGGCTCAGACTCCCCACACTGCCAGAACCTGGTTAACCTCCTAGTAGGTGATTGAGACCAGAAGGTGTTTTTTTTTTTTTTAATTTGATTTATATGCCGCCCTTCTCCGGAGACTCAGGGCGGCTTACAATGCGCTAAGCAATAGCCTTCATTCTTTTGTATATTTATACAAAGTCATCTTATTGCCCCCACAACTGGGTCCTCAATTTACCTACCTTAGAAAGGATGGAAGGCTGAGTCAACCTTGAGCCTTGGCGAGATTTGAACCTGCAGTAATTGCAGGCAGCTGGTCTTAATAACAGGGTGCTTTAGACCACTCTACTACCAAGGCTTTTGCCTTGTAAGTTACCGCCTCTATAAAAGAGATTCAGTGTAACAGAATAAGAGAGTTGGAAGGGACCTTGTAGGTCATCTAGTCTAACCCCCTGCTCAAGCAGGAGACCCTATACCAGTGCTGACAAAACTTTTCAGCATCGAGTGCCCAAACCAAGCATGTGCACATGACAGAGAACTGGAAACCCGAAGATCAGCTGGCCGGCATGCGAGCGCCAACCTGCTGATCTTTGGGTTTCCGGCCCATGCATGCACACCGGCCAGCTGTTCTTCGTGTGGGCCAGAGCACCGGAAACCCACACATGCCTGTTTTTTGGACATTTTTCGGGACAAAAACGGCCTGAAAAACAGCCCGAAAAATGGCCCTGAAAACGGCTCAAAAAACGGCCTGAAAACAGCCCGAAAAACAGCCTGAAAACAGCCCGAAAAATGGCCTGTTTTTGGGGCCATTTTCAGGCTGTTTTCCGGTGCTCTGGCGCCTGCGAAAATCAGCTCAGATTACATTAGAGGTTTATTTAAATGAGTTTTGTGCCAGTCAGCTGGTCTTTGGGTTTCCGGCATGCACATGCACACCAGCCAGCTGGTCTTCGTGTGGGCCAGAGAACTGGAAACTCAAAGACCAGCTGGCTGGCGCACACATGCCTGTTTTTTGGCTGTTTTTTGGGGCAAAAGTGGTCTGAAAAATGACCCAAAAAACGGCCTGTTTTTTGGCCGTTTTGGGGGGGCATTTTTGGGCCATTTTCAGACGGTTTTCCAGTGCTCCGGCGCCCGTGAAGATCAGCTCAGATTGCATTAGAGGTTTATTTAAATGAGTTTTGCCAAAATTGTTTATAAACATTTTGTTTCCATAAGAACTTCTTGTGGGGAGGGGGAAGATAATAAAGGGGTATATGTGTGATAAATATGCAATATGTAAAAGCCAGTTTGGTGCAGTGGTTAAAGCACCTGGCAACCAGAAGACTATGAGTTCTAGTCCCTCTTAGGCAAAAAGCCTATTGGGTGACCTTGGACCAGACATTCTTTCTCAGCCCTAGATAGCAGGCAATGGCAAACACTTCCAAAACATACTGCAAGAAAACTGCATGGATTAGTAAAATTTTGCAACATAATTTCATTTAGAGTGCGCCTTAACATGGAAAAGAGTACACCTTAACATGAAAAAACCAGTGGACATTTATTCAAAAAATATCTAAATTAGCACTAACTTCATTAAATAAAAATTAGTATTAGATAATATTCAACATGGCTGGAAACCCTATAATTGCAATGCCAGGTCCATGGTAAATAAAGCCCCCCCTCATTTGCGATCTTATTCAGGAGGGGGGAGCGGACCTGGCAGGTATTACGGAGACCTGTTTGGGCCAGGAGGGGGGAGTTCCCCTCGTAGATATGTGCCCACCAGGCTTCCATGCATTCCACCAGCCGAGAGCTCAGGGCAGGGGCGGGTGGTGGTGGTGGCGGTTATTATAAAGGAAGGTCTTAATCTGAGGGAGACCACTGTTCCACAGATAGACAGATGTGAGTCCCTTCTTGTGAAGTGGGGCCGTGGAGTGCAGATGGGCTTGTTGATCACGTACCTGGCTCCCTGCCACGTGGCAACGGCCCTGCCTGAGCTGCTCAACGTCATAGCCGAAGTGGCGGTTGATACCCCCAGACTTTTGGTCATGGGGGATTTCAACCTGCCATCCATCGGTGAAACATCTGAGGTGGCTCGGGAGTTCATGGCTTCCATGACGGCCATGGACCTGACTCAGTTAATTCATGGCCCTACTCACACGGGCGGGCACACTCTGGACTTAGTTTTTATCTCTGGTCAGTGGTCGAGTGGCCTTGATACAGGGGATATAGTCATCGAACCCTTGTCATGGTCTGACCACTCGCTCCTTCGACTTGACTTTCTAACCACTACA